ACTTTGTGGTGCTCAAAAACTGCAGCATAAACTGCTTTGCAAAGCTGCCGTTTTGCAACTGCTAATAAGAAGTCATTTACCTACCCCACATGCATTATGCACAAACACACTCATTCCTCTGGTGTAACAACATATGCAAGTCCATATTTTACAGGCATATCTGCAGAGCGTGCAATAATCCTGCTACAGTTTAGATAATTATTATCGGGATGCTCTAGTCTCGGCTGCAAAGGAAAAAAAAAAAAAACCCTATCACCTCTCCCTCTCGTATCCCTGTGATTGGCTGCACATCTCCCAGGTTTAGTTTTCTGCACCAGAGCATCTTTCAGGAATCTAGAATGTCATTTTACAAGAAACCAGCATTTACATTTCTTTCCTTTCAATTTCTTTCAGGACAATTTATCAAAAACACTGAAATTCAACCATGTTTGTTTTTGTTAGATTCCTTGAAACTAAATGTTAAAACTTACTCCCTATTTAGTAAATGCTTTGAGTACGCTTACTCATATTCCTCCATTAAATTTAGTAAGCTGTTAATGAGTCTGTGAGTCAATACAATAAACCTTTGCAAGGAAAGAGCCTTACCGTCTCACGTTAATGCTGATAACACCATTATACTGGTGACAACCTGCAAGATTGATGAACTTTGCCGAAAACTAGTTTGATACAACTGGGTGGATATTAGAAAAAAAATATACAATGAATGAAAATGAGACCACATCTGTCATAGACTACTTATTTCAAGACAGGTACATTTTGAACTTACTTAAGTTCTAAACAAATGTAATATTTTCCTCTGCTAGCAGCAACAAGGCAGCTCAAAATGCTTTACTAGATAAAAAACAAGCAATAACCAATTTGACAACACTATGTTTTGTCAAATCCCACAACCAAATATACACCACGTATTAATTAATGTTCCAGTTATTCTAAACAAGTGTTTTTTTTTCTATCTTGAGTTTATTTTTTATTCAGGGATTATTTTTGGCTCTATTGGTCTTTATTCAAAGGAAATGACATGACTCTTAACGTGTGGGTGTAAACGTTTAAGAAAGTTGGCCATTTTCTTTAAATCTCTCACTTTTATGGGATTCAGCAAACGATAATGATAAATAATAATTAGAATTGATTTTGGTATATCTCACTGACCTAAAAAGGAAAAGGTTAGTGTGTGCTAACATCAAGTTGTGGAATAAGCAAAGGGCTTTGTGTCTTTTTAAAAAGCGTACATAAGAATCTAGTTTCATCTGTAATTATCTACATCTAACGCAACAGAAAACCTCTTAGCGTGACTTTAACCAGGATCCAAGGCTGCTCATTGCACTAGCAGGGCATTTCAAATCAAGCCAGCTCTTTAAAAGCCCCTTGTTCTTCATTTGTTATTATGTTTTTGACTTTTTCAGAGTCCGGACACGTTCCTTTGACCTCCCACTGCTACTATCATTCTCTGTTAGAGGTATCTGTTACTCTTCAGCCATGGGAATTTTAGAACAGAGCGGTGAACTTACATTATAAGGCTTCATCTTGTGGTATCGGCCACATTACTGTTCATCTGATCACAACCGATGCTCCGTTATCCCGCTCTGACTCACTTGCACTTATATCTGACATCAGTGCAATTTCTCAGTCAGGTTTTTTTTTTCTAATCAAGTGATAGGAACTACTTTATGGCCATTTGCTGTCTCTCTCACACCCATCTGCCCTTGCTGTTTTGATCTTCCTTGGGAAGCCTGTATCTCCTTTCTCATTCCCTCAGAAAAGAGAGAGGATGCTGATGGCAGCCACAGAGCTGGCTAACTGCAGCAATCTGCCCTCTGCAGAGAAACTAAATTGACTTCCCTCACCATCTATTGAGTTAGCGGCCATCTCCAGTTTCTACCTCCTTCACTTTTCTTTCTTCTTGCCCTCTGTCAAAGCTTCTTCTCAGTACTTTCCCCATGAAGCCGACTTGTGAATGTCAGTAGGTCTGTGATGGCAGCTTGGGGAAATACAGCGCATACTGCCTAATATTGCTTGAGTGTGTAGTGGCCACATGAGTGACATTAAGGAACTAATGGGTTTCCTCCATTGATTTTGCTTTGTTCTTCCATGCATCTGAATTTGGCTTTACCACAGCAGGAGAAGTAAAAAGAAAGACACTGTTCAGCGGCTTCAAATACCGACGTGAGAGAATTACTACAGACGGCTGTGTGAAATGTATGTTTGTGGGAATCCAGAAAGCTTGAATGAAAAGCAAAACTGGATTTGGTGTTTGGTTCAGTTTTCCCTTTTCATGTTGAGTGACTACTGAGCCCCATAGACGCAAAAGCTATTGGCTTGGATTGCTAAATCCTCTGACACATAACAATTTATACCATGATTCCAAGTAAAGCATGAAAAAATCTAAGAGTTGATTATATGTTCAGACTTACTAAATTCATTAGCATCTGTAATTTCTGTGTTAAATACTCTACAAAAGGACTGAAAAATGTACCTAACCAAAGGCATCCATCCATCCATCCATCCATCCATCCATCCATCCATCCATCCATCCATCCATCCATCCATCCATCCATCCATCCATCAGTAGCTCATATGAACTGATATCATTTCTAAGGTGTATTTTTTACCTGCAAACCTGAATTTTTTCATCTAATTGAGCTTGTTGGTTTTTCTATCAATAGCTTACGAAGGGAAGATTGCTAAGGAAGTGTACATAACTGACACTCATGAAAGGTACTTCTGCAATTACAAAATAAAAAGTAATTCTAAAAAATAAGACTATAACTGCATCAGGATTTCAAGTGAAAACATCCAGAGAAAAGGGGAATATACTGATTAGAGTAAACTAAACTGGTAACTTAAGGTGATGCTGAACTCATGCTGAACTCATGGTGATGCGATTTGGTCTTTAAGGTAATAATTGGAACAAGCACTGAGGTATTTACACTCCTTCACTACTTCCACTTCTCTGTTTTTAGGTTTCTCTACCATTCTCTTTCACCACAAGTGTTTTCTTGGATCTGCTGTGAGAGCAGGTAGGTTACTTTTTTTAACACAGGATTGCAAGGTAAAATAATCTCTGGATGCACTGTTGTACCCTGCCAGGGAATATCAATATTTTCTGTTGCAGATAAATTAAACAGGAACTCCAAGTTTGGTATTTTATACTGTTTTGCAATAGCTGACTGACTTAAATGCTGTTTGTGCAGAATTTCATTTTTCTTGTCAAGTAGATTAATTTCACATGAAGACAGAAAGTTGCATGTAGAGATCGTGACTGGTAATCTTAAACATTGGTGCATGTTTATGTCTTTTTCAGTGCCGACCAGACTGTATGTGTTGAACAAAAATGTATTAATGATTTATCTGGTTTTTGTCTTTTGATTTGTTTAGAGTCTTTAGCGCTAACATTAAGTCATGTTAAAAATACCAATGGCTTGATGTGTCACAATTTAAACACATCAGGGCACATTCAATTTGTGTGGGGAAATCCCATCTCACTTCCTGATTTTGGTAAAAAAAAAAAAAAAAAAAAAATTATATATATATATATATATATACATACATATATTTGTGCCTTGTAAATCATTCACAAGTTGGCCCAAGGTTGACATATTTGTTCACTAAGTAAACAAACAAGCATCAAGAAGGTAACGGTTATCTCCAGACAGCTGGAGCAAATGTTACACATGTGCAAAGTGTGTTCCTCTCTGAATCCCTGAGCAAAATGGCTGTTCAGAAAACCGGAGTATTTTTTTTTTTTTTTAGAAAGTTGATTGGCAGAGTGGAAAACATAATAAAAATTAGCGAAAAACAACTGGATACTCAACGAAACTGCTAAATATAAAAGAACACAACCAAAAAGGTTAAATCAAATAAATAAATAAAGCATAAAAATGCACGTCAGATGATTAAATAAAAAGTCAAGATGGCAAAGCCCCATTGCTAAAAGTACATTTGTTGAAGAGGTTGCAATTGTTCTTTTATGGACACACAGTTGGAACTTCAAACACTTCATCGAAGCCAGAGAAATGAGAAAGATGGTGGCACATCAGTTTCTGACCTATTTATTTCACCCAGATTTGTTCGTTCAATCAATCAATCAATCAATCAATCAATCAATCAATCAATCAATCAATCAATCAATCAATCAATCAATCAATCAATCATGACCAATAAGACACACACACTACAATAAAGAAAATTGACAAAATGTGAAGAACAGCTAAAAAAAGTAAATAAAGGGAAAATAAAGGCTTAGTAATAAGAAGGGACTTAAAACCGTTCAAAGTGTTATATTTACAAAAAGAGGAAGATTGTTTCAGAGTTTGGGAGTCCTGTCTCATCGGCTCACAAGACGAGTCCATCTAGAACATCTGCAGCTATGACACATTAAAACACCAATGCTGATGTTGAATGGAAACTTTCACTGAAACAGGTGTTTCCACCAATAAACCAGAATCACCTCGTTTACAGGCCAGTTAGATCAATGTTATGTAGCGGGCAGACTGACCCTTTAAGCCATAACCATTAAATAAACTTGTGGGCTGACATCAAAGATGTTGTTTCTGAGGTAAAACAGATACATTTTTGAAAAGTTGTTCAATGATCTTGAGCGAGAAGTGAAGTGAAGCAGGTTTCAGAAAACAGTCATACAACCAGATGTTAATCATTCAAATTAAACTGATGGCATTTTATCAGATACTAAAAGTGTTTCAGTTTGCAAACAGTTTTTCTTTCTTAATTTCTGCAAGTTTATTAAAAGCACTAAATAAATATCTCTTCATGTTATGCTGTTCATAATGCATGTGAAAATGTTAAGAAAACATTGTAGCTTCTCAGCTTTTCTCACTTTTTTTCCACATAAAAAAGCTTAAATCTGAAGAGTAACTCCAAGACTTTCTGAATGAAAACTTAACAATGCCAAGCATTTGTCAGCTACTCCAAGATCAGTGGTTCAGCTTAGTTTCTGTAGCAGTTTTTGGCCGTAAAAAAAAAAAAAAAAAAGTCCAACTCACCATAACAGAGTACACCAATGCGACAATGCTGACGGGCCAAACGGGGCAGAAGCAGGACAGGATGACCAGGATGAGGTAATCCTTGGGTTTGGGGGTCTCCGGCACGGTGGCGTTCCCGGTGGAGGAGCGGCTCAGGCTGGCCCTGGACGGGGAGAGGGGGGCGGCGGCGGACAGCTGCCCGATGGAGCCCGACCTCATGGCGACGCTGTGGCCGTTCTGGTCGGCCTCCAGAGCCTTGTCCCCGGCCACGTTGGCTGTGAAGGAGGTGGACATTTTCATCCCGGTGCCCCCGGGCTCGGTGGTCACCGTCAGGAGTTTCTCCGTCTCCTGTAAGTCCGCGGGCGGGGCGCCTCCTCCTCCCTCACTGCCCAGGGTGGACTTCAGGAAGTCGGTGTCGGTGTTGATGGCCATGATCCACTCTCGGGTTGCCAGAAAATGTGATTAGCAGCCTGGGAGCTTGTTATGAGACAGAGCGCTTCCACGTTTCTTAATAGAAATCAGACTTTATAACTATTCCTTGACGCTAGACTTAACTTTAAATAAGGAACTCCTCCTGCGATGAATGGATTTATCAATTAGTTGGTTTTTTTTTTATCTGAAACGAGGTGGGCTTTATGAGCTCAGGTGTGACAGAGACACCCACAACAAATAAAATCAATCAGATGAAAGCAAATGATTCATCCTCCTAAATCAGCATCCTTCTCCTTCGTTTCCATTCGTTGCTGGAGTTATTTGCAAAGAGCCTCGGATCATAAACCCCCTCCTCTTCTTTCTTCTTCTCTCTGATACATCCACCTATCCCGCTTAGATCCAGTCCCACTAAGATGCCTTAAGAGTATCTATTTTTTAAGTGCTTCTAAGTCTTTTTCCTTCTTTCTTTTCTCTTCTTTTTCTTTTCTTTTTTTATTTACCAAAGAAAAACAGATGTTTATCTCAAACCAGATCCAGAGAGTCCCTATCCCTGCTCTCTCCCCGCCGTCTCTCAACGCTGCAGAGGCACTATACTCTACTTGGGACCTTGTCAGCTCTCCACATTTATTCTGAAGACTTCCGGAACATGAGTTCAAAATAAAAGCTTTATTTATTTATTTATTTATTTATTTATGCACGAAAAACTCCATCCCGCAATATTTTGACTACAAATATTTTGACACTTGCATATTTTTAGTTTCCCATTGAATCGGAATTTGAAGTTACTGTAAAGTATAAAGCAGACAAACTAAATGAAAAATGCATTTTTTTCAAATGAAATGTTAGTTTAGACAACTATAGTGTACCTACTAAGTTATATTAATACGTTTACTTAGATCGATTTTACTTAGATCACAGATAGATAGATAGATAGATAGATAGATAGATAGATAGATAGATAGATAGATAGATAGATAGATATCAGAGAGTTTTAAAAATTGAATGGAGCATTTCATGCTTTTCTAATCCTGAAATGCTCATGTTGTTGTTGCTTTTATTTTGGACCTATTATTGTCTGTTTTCCGGTGTGGACCTCGTACTTTCTTGCCAACTTGTCTTCTGTAGAAAGAGGGGAGACGCAGGAGGGGGGGGGGCAGAGGGGGAGGCTGTCCACCCCCTCCTCTCCTCCTCCTCTTCCTCCACCCTTTCTTCTCTCCCTCCCAGCATCAGCACCACTGGTTTATGGAGGGAGGCCAGCAGCGGGATTGTGCTGCTATGCAGTTTTCTCCTGCAGTTCAATGTTCCAGCGAGCTTTCCAATAGATACACTCCCGTATCATCAATCAGCTTCTTCCAAGCGGACTTTATAAACAGCCCCGAGAAATTACGTAAATGCAATTCTACAACATATGCTGCTGAGGATGAAAAGAAGATTTAGTTTAGATTAACTGAACCTTAATCCGTATGATACGCTGAAGCATTGTTTTAATCTTCCTTTTGCTTATCTCTTATCCGTCAAGAAACACCCCCGTGTGTTTGCATTGACTTGGTGCGCGGTTTTTTTTTTTTTTAATGCCTGCACCAACAGATTTCCCTCTTTATGATGCACGATGCTGCATTATCACCAGCTTTATTTCTCAGGGTGAATGCCGCACTCCTCCCTGAGCGCTCCTCCCTTTAGATGAAAGGGGATTCCCAAAATGAAACTCGGCTTTCAGCTCATTGTCGAATGTTAAACGAACACATTTTACCACAGAAATTAACTATTTTCCATTGATCTTGCCATCCGTTTGATAGCATCGTTTCTCTCAAGAAACTGTGATTTAGATGTGAAAAGAGGACAGCGACGGATCAAACAGCTCGTTCCTTTATAAGACGTAAAAGCTGCTGACTATCGGGAAGATCTGTCGTCCAAAGTCAGGTGGACATGGACTTATTTGCAGCCAGAGCGCCCTCCTGTGGTGAGGCCACGTATGTGCAACTACAAGACAAAGATTTGTTTAGATTTATTTATTTACTGGTAGATTTATGGCTTGTAGAAGTCGCTGTCCATGGTTGATAGATCTGTTTTGCAGGCAGGAGGTTGTTAGATTACTGTCTTTGTAAAATAAATCTATTTGGTTATTTAATTTACCTCATATCACTAGTGTGATATTTTTATGTTTTCATAATCCTAAGTGAAAAGAAAAAAAAACATGCACTCAAATCTAAATTGAGAAGATTGCTCTCAGTTTAAGTTGAAAGATGAAGCTAAATAATCCAAATCTATGTTTTAAGACATAATCTATGTTGTCATTTAAAATACATCTGACCCACAGAGGTCAGGAGTTCATTCCCAGATCTTGTTTATGGTCAGTTTGAGCTTTGCATAGGATTTTATGTTTTTTATGAAACCTCATGTTGTTACATGTAAATTTTTAATGCTTCTCTTAAATTTGAATTTGTTTATAAACATCCTTGTAGAGTAATAAAACATCTCAGATTTCAAAGTGTGGTATAATTTATTGAGTTTTTATGGTATTGCACGACAATTTGAGAAATACACACTTTCTAAGACAAATTGTGTTACTCGTCTTACATAAAGAGCTTGAGCCATTTTAACTGTAGCATTTGGTATATATGTTTACATATTCCTGGACACAAACATTTTAAAAATTACAGACAGCTTTTATTTTTCTTAAATAGTTGATACCTGCAGACCTACGGAGCTCCATTGGTGTTGAGGTCAGTTTTGACTATTTTATGACAACAGTTACATTTTTAGTCTCTGGGTCAAAACATGCCTCTATACTTGTTCCTGTCCTCCTGGTTCTTCTCCTCCATGCGCATGTTGAGCACTGCCAGCTCTTTCTTCACTGCCTTTTTCATGCCAGGGTCGAGGTCCAGCACCCTGCTGAAGTCCTGCCGAGCCTCTGCCTCGTTCCATACTTCCTTGTGGGCTTTTCCTCGCAGGTAGAAAGCCTTTGCAACACCTGCAGGACAATCAGGTTGCATTTGTTACATAAAAAGCTGGAATTAAACCTTTTCCTTTCACAACGTTTTCATACTTCTTGAGTTAAGTATATTCTATAGGGGATTTTTGTGATGGCGTTGCAGTGATGTGGACAAGTAACGCATTATTGGGAAGTGGAAGTGATGTTTGGTGTTTTCAGCACCTTTTGTAAATAAAGATCTGAAAGTGTGGCTTCTCTGAGTCAATACCTTTTGGATGTTTCTCTGATTAATGCCCAGCTGTGGCATAACCTTTTCAGATGGTTGACTGTACAAAGCTCTGTGTTTTCATTTTTTATTTTTTTAAAGTTTGGAATAGTGAAGTGTGACCATGGAAAACATGTTTTCCCTTTTTGTTCTTAATAAGCTAAAGTTAGACAAACAATGAATGCTGGTTTTTTGTATCTATTGTTTCCTCAAAGCTGTGAACCCATCACTAAGTTTCAGTTTTGGAGTTTGGCGCCTATTACCTAAAGTTGTTTTGAACGCCTCCACAACTTTCTTGGTTTTAATGATGTTGTTTGTTCAGTAACGTTCTCTTTCAATTTCACAGAACAAATGGCTTCATACAGAGATTACATTAAGCATATGTGGACTCTGTTTATTATGATGTGGTTCTATGAAGGAAGCTGGTTGAGCTAGATTTTATTTTCTTGTATTAAAATATACAAAGTACAAATGCAGATCATGTTTTTAAGATTTTTTTTTGTTGTAAAAAATATATATATTTTGAAAAGCATTCATTATTCTCCCTAAACCACATAATTTTACTGTTGATTTCAATGTTTCACATAAAATACCAATAAAATACACTGAAGTTTGTGAACCTGCTGTGACAAAATGTCACAGAGGTTCATGTGTTTCTGCACAGAGCTGTGGCCCATGTACAAACCTTCCCCACAATGCAGTAGTGATAGCAAACTTTCACTAACAGGCTTGATTTTGTAAAAACTTTACACCTCTCACTGCTTCATGGGAGACATTTGTCACTTCGAACCTGGATGCTGGTTGACGATATCCGTGGTGTGCTCGATGACCTCGTAGTACTCCTCCATGCGCAGCAGACACTGGCAGTAGTTGAGCGTTAAAGTGTTCGCCATCTTCTCAAGCTTCAGCCACGGAACATCCCAAGCTTTCTCCTGAAGAGAAAAATGTGATCTCAGTGGAAAGATAGGAAAAACACAACTCATTTCTGGTTTATGAGAGTAACAGAACAGACTTGATATGTACTACCTTGGTCTGCACATTCTTGATGCAGATGATAGCTTCTTTGTATTTCTGCGTGGCCTCTTGGTAACGTCCCTGCTTGTACAGCTTGTTTCCTTGGCCGTGCAGCACAGGAACAGCCTTCAGCCTCTCCTCGTTGCTCAGAGCCCACGACTCCCTGTTGTACTCACTGGGCTGCTGCACCTGCCCGTCACGCACACACAGGAAGTTTCATTTCTGATTTCATGGAATAAAATGCATCTTTTTATTTTTATTTTGTTACGTAATCATTCTTTTCTTACCCTCAGCAGCTCCAGGACAAAGTAGAGTGGCTTTGGTTCCTTCATCAGCTCATCCAGGTCGTCGTAGCCCAGGCTGTGGTACGCAAACATGTTGGCCATACCACACGTGTGGACCTGCCACTCTACTGGGTCTTTGCCCTCTGCAATGCGTCGCATACTTTTGGACACCAGTGGGTAAACACCGGTGTGCTAAAGAGGAGAGACGAGTACAAGGTGGACCCTGTGAGGGTTTCCAGATGTTCAGCATTAGCTCAACAACATCGACCGTATGATAGCTTTCTTTCTTTTTTTTTTTTTTACTGGCTAACAGTTTGCTCCTGAAAATATGTCGGCAAAAATATTTTGGCATTAAAGTTTTGCTTATGTTTTTGGTCATGCATCATGATCAAAACAAACAAAAAAACGCTTTTGTAAATTCACGAGGGAAAGGTCACAATGTTCACCATATTTCCTAGTGATGTTATTATATGACTCAGAGGGATTAAATGAAGGTGACATGGGCAATACTGTTTTGTGAAAAAAGTGGGAGTAAAAAAAATTGAATATTTTAAAAAAGTGCAATATTTCTTGCCAACCATCTCAGAAAGTGAAATCCTTACATTATGTATAATCATCACATCTATAATAACATAAATGTTTCTTGTAATTTTGATGATCCTGGCTTGCAGAAAATAAAACCCCCGGGTGTCTCAGATAATTAGAATACCGTGAAGAAGATCACTAATGAAAACTTGTGATGTCACAACCCATTAATCAAAACACTGACAAATGTTTCCTGAGCCTTTGAACAGTCTCTTACTCTGGGTCAGTAGGCTACATAATCATGGGGAAGACTGCTGACTGGACAGATGTCCAGAAGACAGTCATCAACACAGGAGGGTAAGCCACAAAATGTCATTGTTGAAGAGGGTGGATGTCCACAGAGTTCTGTACCCAAGCATATTAATGGAAAATGTAGTGGAAGGAAGAAGTGTGGTAGGAAAAGATGGACCAGCAACAGGCAACAATCCATTCAAGACATGCAGACAAATACTATCATGTACTACCAAGCTACAAGCAGTGGTTATTTCATTTGACAATATTTTTTTAATTTTTTTTTATGAAACGAAACCAAGAGTAAATAAGGACCCAGGCAGAAAGATAGGCTGTGAATCCAATGTCATATTTCATTCCAAAAAAGGAATTAAAGAGGAAGAAGAAATAATAATATAATGTGTAATAATATTAAACAAGGGTTAAATCCGATCTCGTTTAAAGTTTGCTTCTGCTCTTCACAGCGTTAACACAGCCCCTGGTTAGATGGGTGTGGCAGCGCACAGCATATCCAGCAGTACGCATGGAGCAGCCGTGTTATTTAAAGTTTAAAAAGATGCTTTAAGCTCCTTCAAATCTAATCAGAGTGAAGGAGGGTCAGTGGTGCCGATTCAGCAGGAGTCAGAGCCGATTAGAGAGTGAGATCGTTGTGGATTAATGACAGGATGCCAGAACCCATCTGTCTCGAATGGAGCGCAGCACACATGCAAAAAGCACACCAGAAGAAGACATGGGAGGCGGGAGGGAGCTGATCATTTCGGAGTGGTTCACCGAAGCCCAAATTTCTAACAGAATTTCAGATCATTTTTAAAGTTGTGATAAACTTTAAGCATTCAGAAGTGGCTCATTAATAAGAATAAAATATGATTTAGGGATACATTTTTTAAAAAATTAATCAATAAATACAGACAATCTCTCTGAATCTTGTCCTCCCACTTAAATACCTGTTTTATGTTTTGAGTTTGAAGCATAACTTGTTCCAGTTCAGCATAGTTTATTTATATTGCGCCAATTAATTACAATAATAATTTGAATCCAGTTTGAATGAGGAAGAAACAAAAAAAAGATAAAATTTAAATACAGTCACATAGAGAGAAAAGTTCAGTTTTACGTCAGAGTTAGACCTAATTTATAGTCAGTTCAAGACGCTGCTTGTGTTTTCCAGATGACACATTATGTTCATGTTGTAAGAGTGACATATATCATAGTCGTCTGATTATTATCTTTTTGCTTGCGTGTAATTGAAAATGGTAGATATAACTTTAAAATCTAAATTATGACATCAAGCATTTTAGAATCTGCTTGTCAAACTTCGATATTAAAAATAAAATTGCATCAAATTGAAAAAAATAGAACATGCACAAAAGTAAAAAAAAAAAAAAAAAAAAAACTTGACTTTTTTCTTCACTTACAATGGTGTCACACCAAAACTCTGACACTTCACCGATCCTCATGGAAGACAGCAGGGTCTCCCAAATGTCGAGCTTAAACATGTTGCCAATCACTATCTCCATGGGCGTTCCCACCTTCTTGCTGTCGTCCAACACCGTGCGCTCATCGTCACACAGCTGAGTGCGGAAGTGGAACGTCACCTAGAACCACAGGAAGCAGCGGCAAATTCAGGGGAAATGATCATTAGTCAAACTTGCGGGGATCATGAAGGAAAATGCAAAACCCTTAAAAAACAACAACAACAAAAAAAAAAACTGGATCGCTTTAAAATATGAGCAGTCACCGCTCAATGCCTGACATTATGTCACTGACTCGTCTCGGGTGCCGAGTAAAGAAAAAAGGGTCAAAAACTGTTTTTATGCTCAACTTATTGACGCGTTTGTTGCTTTTTTTTTATCTGCTGCACCAACAGTCACCAGCCTTATAAGCCATGGAAATATTTATGTAATTTACATCAGACATAAGGAGTCAGAAAAAGAAAATATTAA